CCATATGTTTTCACTTTTATGTGGATCCTGAGAAACTTAACAGAAGACCATGAGGAGGGGAATGAAAAAAAAAGTTAGGGAGAGAGCCAAACCATAAGAGACTCTTAAAAACTGAGAATAAACAGGGTTGATGGGGGGGTGGGAGGGAGAGGAGGGTGGGTGATGGGCATTGAGGAGGGCATCTGTTGGGATGAGCACTGGGTGTTATATGGAAACCAATCTGACAATAAATTTCATATTAAAAAAGAAAAAAACAGACTGGAGTCAATAATCATTGATGCTTCGCATTATAGATTTGCAGTGCAATCAAGAAAATCTATCTTAGCCATTTTAGAGACCGTCAGTTAACAAAGATGTTCTTATTATGACCACCATTAACACCTTGAGTGCTTATTGAATGCCAGGCACTAGGGCAAAGGAATTTATACGCATTGTTAATTCACTCATTGACTTATTCAACTATTGTACAAGAGCTGTGTCCCAGGCATTATAGTCACAAAACAGGTCATATCCCTACCCACATTGACCTTACAGTCTACTGGTAGATATTTAAATAAATATATAATATTTTAGGTATTGATAAATCTTAATTTAAGGAACTTAAACATGGTAAGGGAAGTCAGAGATGCTATTGGATAAAGAGTCCAGCAAAGCCTCCTCTGAGAGCAGAAACAGAGACTTGAATGAGGCAAGGAAAAGCAACTTCTGGACAAAATTGTTCTAAATGGGAAAAAAGGCAAGGGCAGATGCTTAGAGGGAGAAATGAGTTTGGTCCACTTAGAAAGTGTTGAGATACTACCGTGGCTAGAACAAGGTGAGGTAGTTAGAGAGGCGTCAGGACCCAGATCATACAAGGTTTTATAGTTCATGATAAAGAGTTCATGTGCTCCATTTACACATGAGAAATTGAAGGTTAAAGTGTCAGTAACTTCCCCAGGTGTATATATCTAGTAACTACTACAGGGGAGTTTGAACCATTTTTTTGCTCTGAATCGAAATCTTGTGCTCTTTCTAGTGTATCAAGTTGTCTCTCATTGACTAATCTGGTTACCTTTTTAAAAAACTTTAAATTCAGTGGACCTTCTAATTAAATGTTCTCATTAGTAAAAGAAAATGGAGTTCTATATGCAAATGAGAGAGGCAAGCTGTGGATATGCCATATCATGTAATATTGAATGCACGTGAAACACTGTGGTTTAGAATAGTAATTTTTAATGCTTTTTGATGATTCAACATTTGAAACCCAGAAATAAGAGAGAGAATCATTGAAGGCATACTGGTTGAAAAGCCATTAGGTACAAAAAAGAAAATGCAATATGCTCAAAATGAACTTCTAACCAATATGTAAACCACTTCAGAAGTAACCTAATTTAAAAAAATGCTTTTCTTGAAGAAGTAGTGCATTGTTTATATAAAAAGGCATAGTGTTGCCAGATATAATTACATATGTCTACCTATTTAAAGAATTAGGGAATTCAGGGGTGCCTGGCCAGCTCGGTTAGTAGAACATGTGACTTTTGATCTTGGGGTCATGAATTTAAGCCCCATGTTGGAGATAGAGATTACAAAAAAAAAAAAAAAAAGAATAAGGAAATTCATATTTTTATACAGAGTCCCATGTACTTAAGTCCATAAACAAAATGATAAAGCAGTATTCTGAAGAAATGGTCTGTTATAGTTTGAATGATAAACTGGCAGTCTAGATGGTTGTAATTGCAAAGTAAAGTTATCCAGTAAAAAGGTCATTAGAGAACATTTAGAATAAAATGAAAAATATACCACTCTGAACACAGAAAGTAGATTTGGAGATTCTGAAGATTTTATTCAGAGTTATAAATTGTGAATTTTAAATAATGAACTACATAATTTAAAAACATTCTTTTAAAATGAATATTTGATTTTTCTCTTATGAAATATGACCTTGATATAAGAATTATTTGCCATTTTTTGCTTCAAGTTTTTATTTAAATTCCAATTAGTTTACAGTGTAATATTAGTTTCAAGAATAGAATTTAGTGATTCATCATGAGGCCCTTCCATAATACCCATGACCCATTTAGCCCACTCCCCCTACCTTCTTTCCAACAACCCTGTTTGTTCTCTGTAGTTCAGAGTCTGTTTAATGGTTTGCCTCCCTATTTCTCCCCCTCTATGCTCATCGGTTTTGTTTATTAAATTTCATATATGAGTGAAATCGTATGGTATTTGTCTTTCTCTGACTTATTTTACTTAGCATAATACTCTCTAGTTCCATCCATGTTGTTGCAAATGGTAAGACTTCATTCCTTTTGATAGCTGAGTAATATTCTAGTGTGTGTGTGTGTGTGTGTGTGTGTGTGTGTGTGTGTGTGTGTACCACATCTTCTTTATCCATTCATCCGTCGGTGGACATTTGGGTTTTTTCCATTATTTGGCTATTGTTGATAATGCTGCTCTAAACATTGGGGTGTATGCATCCCCTTGGATAAGTATTGTTGCATCCCTTGGTAAATACCTAGTAGTGCATTGCTGGATCATAGGGTAGTTCTATTTTCAACTTTTTTTTTTTAAGTTTATTTTGAGAGAAAGCGCACTTGCACACACAAGCAGGAAGAGAGCAGAGAGGGAGAAAAAGCGAAAATTCCAAACAGGCTCTGCACTGTCAGCACAGTGCCTGACATGGGGCTCAAACTCAGGAACCGTGAGATTGTGACCTGAGCCAAAATCAAGAGTCGGGCTCCTAACTTCTGAGGTACCCAGATGCCCCTCTATTTTTAAATTTTTGAAGAACCTTCATACTGTTTTCCAGAGTGGCTGCACCAGTTTGCATTAAAGGTGTCTCTTCAATGTAGTTATCAGGATATTTTCTCTTTATTTTAAAATTATTGTTCACAATTGAAACCATAATTTAGAAAACATTCTAAGGAAAAAATATATTTAAAAAAAGTGATAGCTATGGTTCTCCATAGATAGTTTTTATTTATAAATTAAGTGAAACAATAATTAAAAGATGTTCAGTATATTTTGCTTAGGTTTGCCCAGAAAAGAATTATTAGAGCTATTGTTCAAATGCTTTCATCCTCTATTGTGATTTAGTTGATGAACAATAGACATTCTTTTAAAAATCATGAATATACACTAAAGCAATTTTTCTGGCATGAGGCCTTTATCTGGTAAGATTAACACATTACTATAATTTCTCACCAGCTGAGATACAGTTTTAGTGAGGAGTTGATCAGAACCAAATCACACATAATTTGAATGAAGAGAATGATAAATCCATAAATAGTTCTGTGACTACAACAGTAACTATTTAAAGTGAATTCTAGAATAGTAAGAATGGCCTTACTTCAATCCTATTTTCCCCAAAGAACAAAGTGAAATATTTTTTTATAGAGAAATCACAAAAACCTAGTGTTTCTGCTATTCATAAGATGAACATCTTCCCTTTGAGTTGCTTATACATAAAACTGGAGACAATATACACCTCAGCTGTTAATGTTTTAGGACAGGGACCTGCAGACATCTTTGTGTCTTCAAGATATTACCAAGAACTTTACATACAATGAGAATGAATGAGTTAATGAAGAAATAAGAGAATAGATAACATTACAGTTATTTGTGTTAATTGAATAGAGTTCAGATTTTTATGTTGGAAGGTATTAATTCTAGCCTTAATGGTGTAAAGCTTTGCATACAACTTAACATCATTTAGTTCTTTTATATATAACATTAGACGTGTGGGGGCACCTGGGTGGCACATTGGATGATGGAGCAGCTGACTTTGGCTCAGGTCATGATCTCACGGTTCGTGAGTTTGAGCCCCGCGTCAGGCTTGCTGCTTTCAGCCTGTCAGCACAGAGCCCGATTTGGATTCTCTGTACCCCTCCCTCTCCCTGCCCCTCCCCAGCTCATTCACTCTTTCTCTCTCTCTCAAAAAATAAATAAAACATTTAAAAAAAAGATATAACACCAGACTTGTAGATAAGTAATAAATTTTTTAATGTACCAGCTATTCCTCCAGATTGCCCATATTTTAGGTGATGCATGGTAAAATTAGTATAACTTCTCCCAAGTTATTTGTAAGCTGTGAACTATTACTTAGGAGTGAGCAGTGACATCTGAGGGAGGCCTTTACAAGCATTCTTATTGAAAATTGCATATGTGATGTTTTTCTAGGTGTTATACATTCATGTGTCTCATCTGTAAACTGTCTATAACACAATTTCTGGTATATGATAATATATTATCTCTTACTCGTTTTAAATTGCTTTTGGTTTTTGTTAGTAACTTTTACCTTTAAACTGTAATGTATAGGAAGGCATGAATTGTCCAGTTTTTAAAATAATCTCCAAAATTCTGAACATGATACTTATTACATTGAATCAGGTATGATTTTTCTTCAGAATTTTTGTTTTATTTTGAAGGGTAGCTACTGCACAGCTAGTATTTGGAAATGCTAAAAGAAATAGACACAATTCTCTAAAAGTCTCTAAGATTCTAAATTAATATTCATATTGTTTTAATTTATTCTTGAGTGCCTCATTTGGGACACTAACCATTAAATTCAGAATTAGCATAGACATGCATAGTACCAACATTATGAGTTACAGACTATTGAAGGTTTTATGAACCTTCATAGCTGTAGAACAAGATATTTCTTACGACATTATAGTATCCTTTGATAAGCTTTAGAGTCTTTACTAACTAAAAATGTGAACAATCATTCTGTAATTGAAACTATCCAAAATACTGGGAAGATTTCATTAACTAAGAGTTTATCTTATATTTTCTTAGCTGTAAAGCATATTTGGTTTTAAACACAGACAACCTTGTTTCATAGGGACGTGATTTCTTGCATACACATACATACACAGCCTACTACATAAAAAGCAATTACAATTTACTAGCAACATAAAACCCTGTCTGTAGCTTTAAAAAAAGTCAACTATTTAAATTCATTAACTTAGAATGTGTTTCTTTACGCGTGAGAATTAACTTCTCTCTGTATTTTTTGACAGGAAGAAGCACTGCATGGGTTTCGAGTGAGTGATTACTTTGAATACATGGAGATTTTGGAACAAAACTACCGACCAGTGGTGCTGAGGGACATGCGCAATGTTAGAGTGCAGAGCACATAGATGGTGGCACAGACAGTTGAATGCCACGTTTTATTTCTGTTTAAAGGAAACAATTGTTTTCTGTGTCTATGACAGCATATGCTTTGTGAATATGTATATTGTGAATCAATGCTGAGACTTTTTGAATATAATAATATATTCAAGTAGATATAGCTCAGTTTGTCACATGAAGTAAATTCTTTTTTGTAAGTTTTTTCTTTTGCAAGGTGATTTTAGAGTCAGATCTAATTTACTTCTAGTTCTTTGTATTTAAAAGCTAGTCCCGGGGCGCCTGGGTGGCGCAGTCGGTTAAGCGTCCGACTTCAGCCAGGTCACGATCTCGCGGTCTGTGAGTTCGAGCCCTGCGTCAGGCTCTGGGCTGATGGCTCAGAGCCTGGAGCCTGTTTCCGATTCTGTGTCTTCCTCTCTCTCTGCCCCTCCCCCGTTCATGCTCTGTCTCTCTCTGTCCCAAAAATAAATAAAAACGTTAAAAGCTAGTCCCAACCTACATCTCTTCCTTCACCAGAAGATTAAAATATTTTTTCCAATGAGTTTTAAATGAAGTGGCAATATTGTAAATAATTGTTTGACTAGCCAGAGAGAGTCCATAGAAACAAGGAAGACAGTTGTTTTCTTGATATCTTGTCTTCATATATAAAGGAAAAATAGACAAAGCCACAACTATTTATTTAACATGTGGGGGAAATAAATGATATTTATCATGGCAAATGCTAAGAAAACTATTGTCCTCAGACATAATTGTGTTTCTGGGAATTGCTTGTGATACCTATATCAAGTTATAATTTTTCATGTGAGATGTCTCTACATGGTTCATTTAAAAGATAGATTGGTTATTTCATACTGATAAGCATTTGTTACGCATTTTTTTAGTGATAAATTTTATTTGTACTGAACATAACATTAGAATAATTTCTAAATTATTTTCAATGACTAACACGATGTTTTATTTAAATGGAAGGCTTTGCTCCAATGAGATTATTAATACAATATGGAAAGGTCTATTTTCCTCTAATTGTCACATTTATTATATGAAAGAATACACAAAAGTATTTTTCAGTTAGCGATTTTAACAAGTTTTTTTTAAATTATAGGTAGTAGTCCTTTTGTTTGCATTGCTTATATTTAAATATAAATCAACCATTAAGACTATTCTCAAGCTTTTTTTTTTTAAACCGAAAATGGCTCATCCACAAATCATTTTTCCTTTTGTATCATGTAAAAAACGGCACTGTACAGTTTTAAGTTTTATGATATTTAGGATATTGCATTATCAACCTTCCAGAACTAGTTTTTGTGCTGTAAATGCTAACAATAGCTGCTCAGTAATGGTGTTCCTAAAGGGCATTGAAAAAGTTGAGAAAAGAAAATTGAACAAGTTAACTTGACATATTACTCCCTTTAGTTGTGGTTGATAGGAGTTAAGTAAGAGAGTTCTAGGTTACCCAAAATACCAAGCTTTGTCTGCTTTCAAAGTTAATTTTGAGAAACTGTTTCACAGAATGTTTATGGTTTCATTTCTACCCACTCTGTTCCTGAGTTACTGTTACTGATACTAAGAAATTGCAGCTTTATTTCTTTTTTAAAAAATTCTTACATGGTAATTAGAAATACAAATGGAGAAGGAACTATGACTTAGTTGTATAATATTCATTGGTGATTTTGATTGGAAACTGAAGATCTTGATAATTACAGTTACATTTTAGAAAGGTGAACTCAGTTCCAACTGGAAAGCTTTTGTTTTCATTTGTTAAAGAAATGTCTTATGAACAATGACCTACCAATTCAGTGAAATAAAATGTAAAATATGTTAGTATGTGTAGCTACCATTGTAAATTATTTTTGTACCTATTAGTTTAACAATATTCTTTAGAATAGAAATAAATACTGCCCTGCCTTGTCCCTTTTTAATTATTTAAAGTATAAGTCCTTAGGACAAACTTTATTTCTCCTTTGTGAACAGGTACCTTGTACACTTACAAGATTCATATTAAGAAACTATATTTTATCATACAATGAAAACAAATTTGTGAAAAATGTAAGTGCTCATATATAAATCTTTGAATATCTGTTTCCAACATTTCATCTCTGTAGTTATGCCTCCTTATGATACACAGGCATCTGAGGAATCTGTGATGGTAAAATAAATCTCAGAAATTAATCTAAACAAAATTCTACCCAAATTTGTGATTATTAAATTGTGGGTTCTAGTTTGATTTTCCAGTTCCAAGATATTAAAGAAATTCCTTCGGTTATTCATTGAATACACATGTTGAGGGTTGCAAGTATAATGAAATATTTTTAATTTTTTTTTAACATTTGTTTTTGAGAGAGAGAGAGACAGAGAGAGAGACCGTGAGCGGGGAAGCAGCAAAGGGACAAGGAGAAACAGAATCTGAAGCAGGCCCTAGGCTCCAAGCTGTCAGCACAGAGCCCAACGCAGGGCTCAAGCTCAAGAACCATGAGATCAAGACTTGAGCCGAAGTCAGATGCTTAACTGATTGAGACACCCAGGTGCCCCAATGAAATATTTTTAATATTCAGGATAGGATAAATGAACTAACAGCACCTCTACTCAGAGTCCACAGTCTTTATGGAGAGATGAATAATTTTAAGCTGAAAATGCACTTTTAAAGATAAGTAAGAAATGACCTCTGGATTTGGTGACTTTGATAAGCAGTTTTGATGGAGTAGTGAGGTTTGTTTGGAGTGGGTTTAAATGATGCTGAGAGGAAAGACTGGAGACTGGTCCTTCCAGGAGCACTGCTGAGCAGGGAAAGAGAATATGGAGGAGGCCGGGGGTCAAAAGACTTTTTTAAGATGGGAAATGGAAGCATTTTTTTTTTTTTAATTTTTTTTTCAACGTTTTTTATTTATTTTTGAGACAGAGAGAGACAGAGCATGAACAGGGGAGGGGCAGAGAGAGAGGGACACACAGAATCGGAAACAGGCTCCAGGCTCCGAGCCATCAGCCCAGAGCCCGACGCGGGGCTTGAACTCACGGACCGCGAGATCGTGACCTGGCTGAAGTCGGACGCTTAACCGACTGTGCCACCCAGGTGCCCCAGGAAATGGAAGCATTTTTATATGTGGGTGGAAATGATGCAGTAGAAAAAGAAAAACATGCTGAATTTCTCATAGGAATAAAGACTGCAACAGCCATTTGGAAGTTTGGGGGTTTTGTTTTTCTTTTTTAAATGAAGTTAAGCACACACTTAACTATGTGACTCAGCAATATTCCTTTTCAGTATTCCTCCAAAGAAAAGGTGTGTCCATACAAAGGCATGCATGAATAATATAGCTTTTATTCATCATAGTCCCAAACTGGAAACAACTCAGACCTCCACTGGTGAATAAACAAGTGTAGTTCATTCCATAAAATGGAACACAACTCAGCCTTGAAGAGTATCCACCTACTGATGCACACGAAAGGTTACATGTAGGATTCCGTGTGTATGAAATGGTAGAAAAGGCATCTCTATAGTGACAGGATGTTAGTGGTTTCCAGAGGCCCAGGGCTGGGGGTGGGTAGGAAGAAAGGGGATTTTCTGCATAGAGCAGAGGGGCCTCTATGTCATGATTGTAGTGATAGCTACATGACTATATTTTTAAAGTACTTTGAAATTTATGAATTTTATTATAAATTTCATGTCAATAAATCTGTTTTTCAAAAGATAAATACTGCAGGGGTGCCTGGGTGGCTCCGTCGGTTAAGCATCCGGCTTCGGCTCAGGTCATGATTTCACAGTCTGTGAGTTACAGCCCCGTGTCGGGCTCTGTGCTGACAGCTCAGAGCCTGGAGTATGCTTCAGATTCTGTGTCTCCCTCTCTCTGCCCGTCCCCTGCTGTCTCTCTCTCAAAAATAAATAAACATTAAAAAAAATACTGCAAAGAGAAATTGACAAATCCATTTTAATGGAAGAGTTTCAACATTAGCAACTATAGGTTACTTGTGGATGCCTTAAACAAGCTGAGGAAGATCCTTTCTATTCCTATTTTACTGAGAGTTACAGGAATAGAATTTCTGTTAGAAAATAATTTTATCAAATATTTTATATGAAAGTAATCTTTGAGTTTCCCCCTTTTTTGGTCTGTTGATATGGTAACTTGCCAATATTTTCTAATGTTAAACCAACCTTGCATTCCTAAGATCAACTCTACTTGGTCATAATATTTTATCATTTTTATGTATTGTCAGATTTGATTTGCTAAAATTTTATTAGGAATTTTTATGTCTGTGTTCTTAAGGGACATTGGTCTATAGTTTTTGTCTTCTGATTTTGCTATCATCGTAATACTAGCTTCATAAAATGAGAAGTGTTCATCTATTTTCTAGTAGCTTGTATATAGACGATATTATATTTTCTCCTTCAGTGTTTGGTAGAACTTCCCAGGGAAGCCTAAAATTTTCTTTGTGATAGGAGTTTTTACAAAATGTTTAATTTCTCTAATAGGTACATAGCTCTTCAAAATATCTATTCTTTTTAAATGTTTATTTATTTTGAGAGAGAGAGAACATGTGCATGTGCAGGTGAGGAGCAGAGAAAGAGGGAGAGAGAGAATCCCAAGCAGGCTCTGCACTGTCAGCACATATGCAGCACATCTGAGCATGTGACCCTAGGATCATGACATGAGCCAAAATCAAGAGTCGGAAACTCAACCGGCTGAGCCACCCAGACGCCCCTACATCACTTTGTCTTTAGTATAAGAACCTTACTACAATCAATAAACCACAAAACTTTACTAAGTCACTCTAATCCAAAGCATTCCTCTTAAATTATAAAAGATTTCTTAACCATCCTCTTGTAAATAATTACATAGTCTTACATGCTATTTCTTATTATTTTGAATTGTTTATTTTCACTCTGATTATTTAATGCCAGCATATCATTCAACAAATGTATCAGTAGTAAACACTTTTGTTTGGCAATGTCATCTCCCCAAAATTAAGTTTGTTTCAAAAAGGGGCAAAGGTTAATTCTTCTCTCTCAGAAATTCTGGCCTAGTGCTAGGCACAAGAGCAGAATATCAGATTATTTGCTGAATGAAATATCATAGTTGTTTTGAAT